TTTTCACGTGTTTTTCGCACAAAATATTTGAGTAAGTTATAATATCAGGTCCAAGGCACATTCGAAAGTGGAATGCTTCCTTTCATGAGAACTGGTGTATCTTTGCGTAGTCTACAAGTAATATAACACATTCAAACGTTCGTAACCTTCCAGTATAACTATCTCTCTGTTTTTTCTTCAAGGATTTATCTATATAATGGTAAATCTATGATTTCAAAATAACTTTTTATAATGTTTTATGATGATTTATGTGATAAATATCACTGTGTTTTATACAATGTTAGTCTGACTGTACGAGATAATCTCAGGAACGTCTTATCGGATTTGAGAGGGTTTCCTCTGAAACTTAGAATATTTAGTCGGACATAATTTAGGCTCATTTTTTTCTTCGAATCATTATTTTATATTCTATGAATCATAACGTTTGTGAATATACTGTTAACACACATACAGTGTTTTACCAGTTGTAATGAAATTCGTATACTTGACGTTAAAGGCAATTTATTTCCTACAAAATATTTCGTGAAAACTACCCCACCTTCTTTTCTAATCTCTTAAATGAAATTCAAGTGACAACAAGAATTTTTATGAGAAGTTTGCAAGGAGAATGCAACAATACATCTGTACACACCTGGTTGTAGCAACGATGGTGGTAGTTTTTCAAAACGCGATAAATGTAAAATAAATTCAATATAGGTTATTCATCGTTCAGGCATCTTTTGACCCATTTCCAGAGCCCGGTAAATGCAAAAGAAATTCAGTATTTGTTATACATCTTTTAGGCATATTTTGATCAGTTTGATCATTCCTCAAATCAGTTTTTATCACAACTCGACAAATTCTATAGTAAAATTCATTCGTTTTACGAAATTATATCTTTTGCGTTTATCGAGTTTTGAAAAAGCGCTCCTCATATGGCATCGCAGGAGCGAGGTCGGATGATGCAAGGAGTTGATAAGGAGGAGGGCGGGTGAGGAGGGATGAGGCATGGTGAGGATATCGGCGGGTGAGGTGGGGCTGGGTGGGTTTTGGTAGAGCAGCACAGGGTAAGGTTAATTAGACAATCTCTTCAGCCATTGTTCACACATTTATCATGTACATTTTCACTTGTTTTGAAGGTTTGGTAAGTATTGACAAAGTATTGTACGTTGTTAAATATTATACATTAATTTTCATTTTTTATGTTTAAAGTTATTTTGTAATTGCAAACTCTGCTGCTAATTTCTCTCATTATCGAAAACGCTATAATATGGGATAGGATCGCCAGGGGCTCTAAACTTGTGACCCAGTTTTCAAGAGGCTCCAGTACTCCCATAAAGATAAGGGCGTTGATCCTCATTACAAGTTTGGTCCTTGTTATTTAAATAATGTCCTTAATAGTGATAATTATAACTTCATGATAATTTGTAACTTGCGTTACATTGCGTTTTATCATCATTTCGTATTTGGATTGAACCATTAATACTGAACATTTAATTAACTCGAAATATTTTTTTCAGGTAATCCAATTAGAAATAAAATACAACCAATAAATATGTAAACTAAGCCAAATGAAAATATCTCTAGGGTTATTTGAGTATTCTCCTTACTTGGAAAGTTTCAATAAAACTATCAAACAATAAGAAAACAAATCTATAAATAAAATGCGTAGTTGATTTTGTTGTTATAACTGTTAGCGAATGCCAATCTTTGATAAAATAGTCATAGATAGATGTTAATAGATCATTCCGTTAAAAGGCCTAGGATCTTGTGTATCGGGTGAACCAACAAACTGTCATCTCTGCACAATATTTGGTCTCTGAGGTTTTCTTGTTCCAACTATGCAAAAGTTGCTACAAACACGTCTCAACTTCTTATCCTATCCCCTACAAGAATGTTTCTACTGTAGGCAACCCGGCAGACGTCCATGCACTATAAATTTACAGGTTGCGTTTTATTACTGCCAAAGAAAGGAACGGAAAAAATAGTGACGTTTCAATGTGACACTTATTTTCTTGCATTAAAGATGCTATTGTGATCAGAAAACAACGAATACATAAGACTTAAAAATAGTGAAAACAAAATAAGACACAAAATTATCGAGAAATGATGTATTACTTCTTAACTTCATTTACGTATATTCAAAATTGAAATAACAATTGTACTTTGAAACTTCGAATGACTATTGTTTTTGTCCAATTACTTAATTTCTTGAATTTCTCCTAATAATATTATTTCCTTTACAAACATATGTAAATATACAACCACATAAAAACGCTGGGAAAGATGAAAATATTACTAGAATACACTTATTACTATTGCACGTAGCGTCAGAGAGGAAATGAGTCGAAAATATTTCACCCATAATTAAATTAAGAAAACATTAACAGCAAACTCTTTCGTGTTTTTCTGAGCTTTTCTCTCTTTTAGGCACAGAACAGCAAGCCATAAGTGCATTAAAGAACATTCTCTATAATAGAAATTCATGGCCGATTCAACGAAGAATTCTTTCTAGTGACGTTGCGAAATTATTTTAAATCACACGTAGAGAGCTTAACCGTGGGGGTACTTAAACCCGCTCCTGTCCGTGCCTAACGCTCTGGAAGTGCTCAGCGCAAAAATCCGGGCAGCGTGGACGTCCTGGGGCTTCGGTGTAGTGGCGGAAAATTGCTCCTGCAAATTGGCAGTTAGCGCAACGCCGGGTGGCTAACGCGCTTCGAGCAATTAGCAAGAGGCCAACGGAGAGAGCAGGAGGGCGAGCGAGAGAGCTAGTGGGAAAGAGAGAGAGAGAGAGAGAGTGAGAGGGAGAGGGGGGTTGAAGCAGCAGAAGAGAATGGGAGAGAGTGGCGATGGGGTAAGAGTTGAAAAACTGAGGTACAGAAATATGGAAAATGGGGAAATGGGAGAGCGACTTGGTGAGAATCCGAAAACGAGGCAGGAGAATGCGAGGCGGTGAGAGAATGACAAATGAAGGGGGTATGCAAAGAAGGGGGTGGTTGTGGGTTCCCTTTTCCCTCGAGAAGAGGTTTGAGCTTTACTGCGACGTCGTGCTCGGTCAAGGCAAACACGCTATCTGACAATAGGGAGCAGTGGGTTGGGTACGTACTGTTGACTGAAAGGATGGGCTCGTTCACAACAGATACCCCTCCCTATTCTCTCTTATTCTTCATATGATTTATCATTCAACGTAGAAGCATGAAAATGCCAGGGTGCAATGTAGATTGGACCGAAAACTGCCCGAAATTCTAATCTATAGGTTTTACTTTAGAGTTCTTGCGTTCTATTTTGCTCTGTTCAAGTAGACATATTTTAAGTAAAAGCGCTTGCAGAACACTTAGATATTTTCACACTTTAGGAGAATCTGTATGTTTTTTCTTTCCCTCAATACGATGAATTCGTTACATTTACGAATGGAGGTTATTGACAAGCAGTAAAAACTGCTTCAAATTCGTTACGTTGAATGTGATGAAGTTAATTCAGGAATCGCAGTGTATCGTTGCCAGTTTGTGATAGCATATGTAGAATCACTTCTCATAATGGAAGCAACAGAAGGCAGGATAGGGTGCGGTGGCAGAAAGATAAAATGGAGAAGGAAATAATGGCACCGAACCTTACGTTACCTCCAGGTGGAGTTGAAGCGTGATGAGATAGAGATGAGGCGAAGAAGAGAAAGAATAAATGCAAAATGTCAAGGGGCTGTTCTGGAGATAGAAACTACGGGCTGTACAAAAGCCGACTGCCCTAATACGTCCGGTCGTATGAAAGGAAGGCAACTGCTGTCAAGTTGCGCCATTTGGACTAATGTGGTTTAAATGCATCTGTTGAGGTGAGGTGGAAAAGGTTAAAATTGAGGCAAAACAGAACGAAAATGAAGGTTCCGTTCTAAAATGTAATTTACGAAAGTGCATAAGAAAATTAAAATACACGGACGTATTTGATAGAACACTTGCATCACGGGTGACGTTTAAAAGTGGTAAGACAAGATGTAAATCATGCTGTACAAAAGATAGAAACATACATAATGAAGCTTCATTTCGTTTAATCTCAATTTTTGTTTCAGCCAAGTTGTTTTATTTTTCTTTGTCTTCCCTTCACTCATAATATAAATTCACTTCTTTAAATAGAATAATGATTCTTGGTAACACCTTTTGGTAGTTCCCGAAAGAGCCGTTGAACTTCCATGATGGTCTTTCTTTCCTTATTTGTGAATACAAGAGAGAAGTCTACTTGAAGTGTTTGCATGTGGTTTTTGTTAATACGTTCATTCAACCGTATCAAGTATAAAAATCATTGTTTCAGGTTCGCATGCAGGTACTGCAATGGATTACTCTTCGCAATGTAAACGCGAAAAAAAGCACTTTAATCTTTGAAACGTTTTTAAAAAGAATTGTCAATACAATGTACGTATGGGTTTGTCACAATTTATCTTGACAGTTCATCTACTTGTAGAAGGTTTGCGGAAACATGAAAATTAATTCTTTAATGCGTTTTTTAACAAATTAAACAAATGTTTATTTTGCGACATATGCATATTACAAAATAAAGGTTTCATTCGGAAACTCTAAATCTACTAAATCTTGTAAGTCTCCGTTATTTCTTAGAGTGACTCTAACACTGATGCAACAAGACAAACAACATTTGTAATACAACTTTTCGGTGTTCTATATATTTTTTCTGAGTGAATGGGACACTGAGATATTTCGAAATATTCAGTAATTACTGTACCGAAATTGGATGGCGACTGCAGGATGAAAAGGGCAAGGGAAGCCGGGATTAATCTGATGCTGAGAGGGGGAGAGGCCGGACAGCAGGTAGAGAGATTAGGGCTTAGGGAAGCAGATCGGAGGTAGAGGATGGAATTCTGGGTTGAGATCACAGTATTCGGGGAAACCACCTTAAAATTACTGTTGGCAACAATTCATAGATATAGCTACTACGAGTATTAAGGCATTGTGAGCTTTTAAAAGTGAATTAAATATCAAATTTGTAAAATTGTAATTGTTACATTACTTGCAATAAACATGTTGAAGGTATGTAGGGTTTCAAAAAATTTTATTGACGCAAATATTTTGTTTTATTCTGTCGTCTGTCATTTAAAATAATCTCAATCAGCTTAGAATCGTTCTATTTTATTATGTTTTATACAAATGCGGCTAAAGGCTTATGTATGTGCGGTACGGTTCTCGTTTTAATTACTTTGTTAATTTCACGACAAGCTTTTGAGAAGTCATAAAGTTTACCCGCAAACAGCTGCCGGATATTTGCAAAGGAACGGTTGGACAGGTTGGCAGACGGTCAATGGCTCTGAGGAAAGTAACGACAGGAGAGCTGGGAGACGCAGAGGTTGGACGGTGTTGCCCTGAACTCGGCACTGCGGTCGCGCACCGCGCGCTTCAGCTATTCGTGACACCCGGGAGCGCAACTAGGTTGCATATCGCCGCCGTAAAATTTTAATAGCGTTTATTTCTTTAATTTTCTCCCTGGGACACAAGGGTGACAAACCAAAGCATGGAAAATTGAGGCGTTTGGGAATTTTTGGTTCTCGGTTTGATGAAATGTGAGGAAGTTCACATTTTGTCACTATGAAAAAATAACGTTAAATTATCAACGCGTTACTGCAATGTAATTTTACACATTTGAGTGCGTCGTAATAAGCTCTGCCTCTTTAATAGAAATTGCCCTGCTAAAAATTACTTATGAACCATCACACTCTCTTGAAATTTACGTGAACCGCTTTAATATTAGCTCATAGCACCACGCTTTCTTGAAATCCTGATGCATTCACAGCCAGTTAGTTTTCTGCTGTACTTACAGCAGCCTAGATTCACTGTGGCTGAAGAGGATCTATTCCAACGCTCTTGTTTAACATATTCCCCTTCTTGAAAACAAAAGCGTATATAGCACCTCTTTATTAAAAATTAATGGAAAACCAGATTAGTACTCTTATATGTAGGCATATTAGTAAGATCAAGTCGTATCAGTGACAATTACAATGCGAATGGATCTCAATGAACATAATAATAATAATAATAATAATAATAATAATAATAATAATAATAATAATAATAATTCCAGTAATTCATATTATTATTAACTCTGATTATAAGAGAAAACAAATGCTTTCAATCATTCTGATTTTGTTGTTCTGTGAAGCCCTTCCTCTCCCCGCAGCAAGCAAAAATTCTTATTAAAAAGTAACTTTTTAATATTTTTTTTTTCAACGGGAGTAAAGAGGACAGGTCGATTTAATACGCGTGTTCCGTGCGTATCCTTCATTTCAGGAAGCCCTTTGAGCGATAGCCCTATAGGGGGAAACGAGGATTCGGAAGGGCAGGGGCGGAAGGTGGACGACGAAGGTTGACGCGCCCTTCTTGCCTTCAGCCCGCCCTTCGTATTTCGGTACGCATCGACCGCCGGCTCTGGTGTCGGCGCCATTTTGGTCGCGTCTGCCTCCCATCCGCCTCCGCACCCCCGCTCTCTCCCTCTCCTTCCACCGCGTGCGTGCGGAAGCAGCGAAACTTGCTGAAGGCCCTTCCTGCTTCCCTCTCTTTCTGCGGGAGGGTACCAGCCAGCCAGCTGTTGATTATCCGCGCGAACAAGGCAAGCGCGTAGATCATGAAGCCAATCGTTTCTGTCAGCAGCTGGGCTGGGTTGCAAGTTGCTAACAAAACTCATTATGGTAATAAAACATAAAACAATTTTAAAGTAAATTTTTTGTTGTTTCGCTTTTGGTATTCCCATTTGATGATTTTAAATACAGTTTATCGTTTTAAATTAATTTGTATGACAAATATACAATTCGAAACAATTCGTGCATGACAATCAGTTGGTAGAGCTTGGTTTGAACGCTTTGGTCTCACACATATGCACCCTTCCATTTGATGTCACACCCAATTCGCTCTTCAGTTATTATTGGTAGGAAAATTATTTTTTCTAATTGTTGGCGTTTCAATTACCACAACTGTAAGTAACATAATCTTGCTTCCAAAATAGCTGATATTAACATTGTATATATACTTTGAAAGTACGGCCTCATTCATTCCCAACATTACATTGCAACTGTTTCTGCAGATACTTTGACCGGCAAGTTCTAGAGATAATTCCGAGGCATGGCGACTTTCGATATAGCTATATCAAATCTTACCGCGCACTGACTGGGAAGAGAATTCTACCGGCCGGCTGCTCTGATACGTAGTTTTCCCCTGGTTTCTTCGATAAATGAGGCACATGCCGTAACAGTACGCTGTTAATCGGGCCACAGGCTGTGTGCTATTTTTCCTTCCTCTTCTCTGATCTATCCTATCCCCTAAGTCACAGCTTTCACTTGCATGCTCTACACTAGTTCACTTGGTAGGTTAAAGCTTATCCCGGCTGAGTCAATGTTTCTTTGTGGGGAGATACCTCAAGGTTAATTCCTCCGCAAGCCGGGGTGTAGGTTGGCAGCAAATCTCAACATCCAGCGAGAGGAAACCGCTACCTCCCGCGAGAAAAAAACACTACATTAACGGGACTAATGCCAAAACTGGTTGACCTGCCCGGAAACATCGGTCAATTAACGTTGCTTAAAACTTTGAATATAGTTTATTTCATTTTGTAGGTCCATGCTTCATTGAGAATATTTTACGCAATTTAAGTTATTAGGTTTATCGATGGACATATGTTGCACCAAAATGTGGAAATGAAACTATGATTTCAATACATTTTGATGTTCTGGATAATTTATTCTGGTAAATTTAAGTGCCATTTGACGCATTTCTTCTCACTTCAGTCCTTTACAATTTTTAAATCAAACGGAACTGTGCTCTTCGTTTACGTAAGTTGATGCCTCAAAGGCAATTCTTGGAAATTTGACGTCCAGGATGCTTAAAATGATGTTGCCTGTGGGCTAACAATACGGACAAGATCAAAGAATTCTAACATGTCCCGGAAGATAAAAGCTTTAACCATTACGGAAACCTCTTTACAGAGGGTATTATTATTCCTTTACAACAGTATGAGGTTACGTCGAAAAGGTTGTGGTGACTACATTTCCAATTTGCGAAATTAATGTGATGACAAATGCGATTTATTTAGGCAAGGCAATTATATTTACAAAGGTGTAAGACGTGACAAGATAGTGAAAATACACCCAGAAAATGTTTAATTATTGAAATGTTATTTGCTCTTAGAAAACATTGCGTAACAAGGGTTAATTTGTTTTATAGAAAAAAATCACCACAATGAACGAACGAATTTTAAGTTCACAACGAATATTAGTAAACTTACTGGTTTATAAAATTCACTACGACTAAATAGATAAATTATTAAAAATACCTTCACCTAGAAATTGAAATCACAAATGAAAGATGTGCAAGTTTATAGCAGATGTGATATAGTTTCTGATAATTTTATATTAATCAGCAAATTCTATCGTCGGAAACAATGGAGGACTACAAAACAACTGTAAAGTATTTCAGAAGAAGTAAACAAAGTACATCTTCTGCAAGAAAGTGTAAAAATGCTGTACCAAACTAGATTGCAGAAATATGTACTAGAAATACCAACTGAGAACGATATAGAGAAAGAATGGAATAATATGCAAAATTACATTGAAAATGTGGCAAAAGAAGCTATAGGAAGAGAGAGGAAAATGAGTAAAAAGGGCCTAAAAATTTAGAACAGTGAGATTGAAAACCAGTAAGAAACAAACACTGTCTTCAGCACCTTCAACAAAATACTGAGGAGAGTATACAAAGATACAAGGAAAACTTAATTAGCTAAAAAAGGTATTCGGTAAGCCCAACAACAAGCATAGCATACATTTCTAAGCCAAATAGAAAATGACATACATGGAACACAACATTTTGCGTATAAGAATCTTAAATGTCTGAACAAAAGAAGAAGAAAATACAGTGATAATAGATGTAATTGATAAGTCAGACTGGATTAAGCACTGTATAAACCTAAGGTATATCGAAAATGAAGCACAAGAAGAAATATGTGAAGTACTATGCAGTGAATTCGATCCCATTACGATAAACGAGACATAATACGATCAAAAATTATTTTAAATAAAATAATTTTAGAGCAAGTTTCCAGTTTCAGCTATTTAGCTTGTCAAGTGAATCAAGATACCAATATAGAAATTAAAATTAAATTGGCAAGGTTCTTCTGTACGGTCCGAGAATTAGGTACCAACAACAAGAACTTTAAGTAGAATAGAGGTCGCTGAAATGAAGTTTTTGAGAACGCTAGGCTGCACGAAAGAAAATCATATTTGTAACGAGAAGATTAGGGAAAACTATATGCCCAAGGAATTAAAAGTAAAATAACTATATCCCGAAACAACTGGTATCAACACACACAAACACACACAAAGGATGACGTGGCAGACCCAAAAAACGACGGAAGAAAAACTTGTGAACACAGGCTCAAGCCTAATCCTTGAATGCAGAAGCAGAAGAATTAAAACTACAACACTTATCAGCAACTAATGTGAGATGTTCATGTAATCATGATTAACATCATTAGACTAACTACAAATTATAGAGGGGATTGAAGTTTGTAGACGAGACAATAGAAGTATTTTATTTGTGCTATCGGTGATGTGTAGTTAAATACTTTTCGTAATACAATTTTCTTCTAAGAAAACTCATCAAAGCACGAAATACCATTTCTAGGAGTAAGTGTACTTATATGCCATCTTTAGCTACAACTCATTTAAGTTTGTTCTTAACGAACAACAAATTGTTAAATATTTAACGGATACCGGCTGTTACGAGCGGCTTTTCGCCCCTGTAGTAGAATTAAGTCGATTTTATGTATTAGACTAGTCGATAATATGAAAAAATATGATTACATGCCTCCCTAAGGAACTCAAAAATTGTAAATACGATGGGCGAAAAAGGGAGAGAAACACAGATGAGTTCCGAAATCCAGAAAAGCAGTCGTCGTAATTCGGTAATTATTTTTTAAACAAAAAATACGGTGATTTACAAATTAAACCTTAAAATGGAAATACAGTTTATCCATATTTCACTTCAAATTATAATTCTTTCTCGTAAATAATCAAAATTTATTTAAATTACGGATACATTAAACTGATAATTCTATAATATTTTGTTGTCAAAACATGTGTTGTACATTTTGTCTTTTGATGCATTTTACAAGTATAGTCTCGTCAACTGAAAATAAATTATGCAGTAGAACATCAATAATTTCATATCCTTGGTATCTCTATTCTTTCAATCCACTTCATCTATCCTACATTCGTGATGCTCTATTATTCGAATCTCGATTAATAATTACATTTCATAATGTTCCACAGAATTGGCAATAAAACATTCCAAATCTGCATTAAAAATGAAATCATTTTCTCCACTGAATATAATATATTATTTATCCACATTGATTATTAAAAGTCAAACTTTCTGAAACTATAATCTGTTTGGCAATAAGAATGGTTTGAAGGCAAGATGTTCTAATATTGTATAGCTGCCTATCAACTATTAACACATTAGTTTCCCACTTTTCGCAGCATATATAGACGTATTTAAGTAAATGAAAATTAAAGAGCATTGGAATTTTTACGTAGTGATAAACGATTGAATGATATTCGTAATGAATCATCTTATTATAAATCTTGTTTGGTTATGTAAATCGGCCGAATGACCCTGCCTTATTATCTCCTAATCTCACATAAAATGTCGTGGGGTACTTCTTTTGTAAATTACTATTATTGTTTATTATGATGCCAGGATTAATGCATTCCTAGAATGACTGGAACGATTTGATGAAAACAAAGTGATTAGAATGTGATTTAAATTATAATGAAAATAGGTGGAATGGGAGGAAGGAGAAACAAGAAAATCCAGAGAAAGCGTGCAGCAAACCCGCTTTGTCCTCCACAGATTGTCTGGGATTTAATTTCTATACCTGAGACGAAAAGTTGCGCGCGTGCCGCTACGCCTCGAGTGGCCCGCGTGTCCAACAGAACAAACAACCATGTGTTTTGTTTCGTTTTCCTTTTTGCAGATGGACGACGACGACGATGAGGACGACCACGACGACGAGCTGGACGGCGAGGACGGGTCGCTGAGCCCCGGCGCCGGCGGCTCGCGCGCGCGGGCTCCCTGGCTGCGGACAGGTACCGCCGCCGACCGGGAGTACCTGCGCTGTTTGGACGCAGCGCTCGAATGTAGGCCCCGCGCCCGTTCTACGCATGCGCACGCGCATGCGCATGAGGCATGGCGGCGGCGCGCGCGCGTGCGCGGCCGCCGCGCCCGCGGCGCCCCTCGCGGCCTTCGGCCGAGTCGACGACCGAGTGTGCGGTGGTCGTGGCGCCGCGGGGTCCGGCCGCACCGCGGGGTGCGAGCTGGCTGTGCCCGCTCTTGGTCTCTCGATTCCTTCCCCGGAAAAGCCTTTGTTTCCCAGGAGCTGGCCATGCTAGTACTGTTTCTCGATCATTCTGGTAGACCTGAAAATTCTAGACTGGCCTCAGATAGTGTTTGGTATGAACGTAGATGAGCTTTGCACGTGATGTTGCGGTATTTCTGTACATTCTGTATGTGTGCGTTTTTTACTTTTTTTCGGTTCAGCAGCACGGTTACACTTTCGTCTTGGTGTAAATAGGATTTTTTTCTTTGATTTATAACTATTCTAAGTGTTTTCTGTGTTATATTCTCGCTCTTAAGTCGAAAAGTGTGTCATCATGACGTTTCGATTTGGCACTGTGCATGTTAAAAAGTGCGTTCACATTGTACAGTATACGCACGTGCGCCTGGCGGCCTGTTGTATATTTTATTTTGTATTTCTGTGAGCATAATCTGTTGTTGGTCTTTCTGTGAGCATGTTGTAGATAAAATCACTCGTGCTGTACTACATGCGGCTGCCCCAAAACGTGAGCGTGAACAAAATTCTCATTGCTCTGTTGAAGATCAATATCATGAATGTTTGCAACTTTCCATTTCCGAGCACGAGTTTTCTACCGGGTATTATTTCGTTGGATTACAGCACGAGTGAAGTCGTTGTAGACAAAAAGTTAATGCATTTAGTAGAAAGAATATATATCGTTTAAATAGTAGTTAAAAGCATGTCATATGTAATTTTTAGGTGATTAACTAAATTTTTAAAACAACAGTTGAGCAGTTAAGTAGTTGACAAATATATGAAATTTGTAGAACGATAGAAAATAGTAGTTTGTTTGTGGAAAAATTAATAAATGCAATTGAAGTGTGTTTTATAGAAACAATGTGCAAAGTGTATAAAGCGAATTAATAGTAAAAAATAGCTCTGCAAAATATGAAATTAATTTAAGAAACAATCGAAAAACACGTCAAACGGGAAACAAAAGAAATTACGTTTAAAGCGGATGGTCCCTGCCGTAAATCATCTCATACCTTCTGTTTAAAATCCACATTCCCGGCGTCAACCTAATATCCATAGCACGGTAGTGCTCGTTTTCGTTATGTTTTTTTCGATTTTCCTTCGCAAAACGGTATTAAATATCGAGAGCGTTTCGGGGAATCCGGCGTCTTCTCTCTCTCTCTTCCGTCTGGCACCTCGAAGCGGGTTTCCTCGCAGCATCTCTACCAAATAATTCACGCTTTCGAGCGCGCCGTGCATAATATCGATTGCCGGCTGCGGCTGCCCTGCCGCCGCGCGCGCCATTGGCCGAGCGCTCGACGGTGGCGGTGGAGACCGGCGAGTCAGCGGGAGTCCCACAGGGTTGGGACGGAGAACAGACAATCGCCAGACGGACCGCCATGACGGCCGGATAGAGAACACATTATCTTCGTAAAAAAAAAGTAGCTAGTTAAGGGTTTGTTTGCTAAACTTATATAAGCTTTTACAAACTCGTGGGGTGGAACGCAGGGAGTAGTTTATTAACATTTCAAATGAAATAGTTTGTTTCACAGTTTATGTAATGTCGCTTTCTACTCATTTATTCAGCGCTTCAATTGAACAGTAGAAACCTTGCCCTTAAGGAACTTATTTAATTAGATTTTTTCTACTTCTGTTATCTACTTCAACAGCAAGAATATCGCAAAGTTAAACCACAAGCCGGATTGATGCTTTTTGTATAGGCCCAAAATTGTTTCTGATAGAAACAAATTATATAAAAAGGTGTTTCATTTGATAAAAACCTATTCAAAATAAACTTTAAAACGGTTTTATATATGAAGGGACCTGTTTCAACCGTCACAGTGAAATACTTTAAAAAATTCTAAATACGAAATTTTTCATTTAGTATTTTTTTCTATGAACTCTATCATTCAATAGTATTTATTTATTTACGCCATAGTTTTTGGTTGGTTGTAGTAGTTTACTATTCTATGTAATTCAACATGGACAAGGATATTCTAGATTGATTATTTCACCTGAGGTTCACCTGAGACAACCGATAATTCATTCGACTTTCAATAGACATCAATATTTTCATAAAAATTAAATTGTGCCTTTTTTAACATGGCGCATTAGAAAACGGAATGATTGATTGAATCGGAAAACAAATTTTAGAAAGTCGTTTCAGTCGAATGATTTTTGTATATTAGTGGATACATTTAATAGCCTACAGTATTTGGTCAATGACAATAATAATTACAATATTATAAATATCACCATTGAATTTTTTTAGAAACTGAATATTTGAAATTGGAAATGAAATATTAATATTTGTAATAGCAAATCACATCAAAGTTATTAGTTTTGAATAAATTGGATCATAAAAGAAATTGTAAGGCGTCTCGAAGAGTCAAATACTTTTTGTTTTGAATGACAAAGCAAAATTGAATTGAAAAAGAAAAATTTTCAATTGGTGTTGACGAAAATTGTTCCAAAGTAATTACATGTTTCAGATCACATGCAATTAGGCATGTAATAACATGTAGGATGAGGACTTCCGATATCATTAAATATTAAATGTTTTGTTTTCGTTAAAGAGTTTCGAGAAAATTTGATGTTATATGAAAATATTAAAACTAGTGTACGGAAAGGGACTGTAATTAGTTAAGTAATTATTACAAACAAAATTGTCCAGTTATCTCAAACTTGAATATGAACTTGAACTATGAATAAAAAATTCTTTATTAGATATATGGATCACTTCTATATAAAGAATGCAAATTTAGTGATCCGGAAGAAAAAAGTTTTTGGACTTTCAAACCGGTAATATTCAGCAAGTTTTTCAAACTATTATGTCCATATTACTTGGCTTCTAGAGAATGATGGTAAAAGTGTCGAAAACAAAATTCAAAATTTTGTGATGATACAATGCAAGGTTAATAATGAAAATAATAATGACATTACAACTTTATATTATTAATAAATAATCATGCTCATAAGTGCATGTAGGTTTGTGAACATAGGAATAAATCAGACGTTATAAACTCGCTAGGCATTAAAATATTTTGTATAGAGCAACAAAATCAGTTGAGTTTCAATTTTAGTCGTAAGTTAATTTTTTGAGTTATACATTTTTAAAACTGATGTCTAAAATTACATTATTTTTTTTAAACTAATCGTGCAAGAAAATTGTTCTTCAAAGAAAGGTGACCCATGGGCAAAACGAATAGGTAACCGCTGTAAAACAAAAAAAAAAAGTTCCTGTTCCATGCGCCGGAACGCGGGGTGTGCGGTGGAAGGCAACAGCGTGTGGGTGTGCGGTGTTCGCAGCGTACGACCTGGCGACGCAGTGCCCGACTCGTCGCACCCTGAGCCGGCGCCACACGCTGGGCGGCACGGCGCTGCGGTCGGCGGCCGCCCTCGACGGCACGCAGTCGCTCCCGCAGTCGCGCCCGTCCTCGCGCGGGCCCACGCCTTCCTCGGCCTCTTCGGAAGCCGGCAGCCAGCAGAGCGGCCTCGGCGGCGTGCTGCCCGAGCTCAGCTGGTCCCGCTCCTCGCTGCAGGACGACCTGCACTCGGTGAGACTGAGCATGCTTCCTTGTCACCGTGTTGCCTAGGCTATCCTGGACGAGCCGCGTCACTGACATGGTGGCTGACGTTTCGGCCAGCGTATTGTAGCATTCGTCAGAGCGTACTGCAGACGCTCTGAAAAAGGACACAATACGCTGGCCGAAACGTTAGCCACCATGTCAGTGACGCGGCTTGTCCCGGATAACCTAGACAACATAAACTCCGGCCTCGGAAGCCTACGCAACCATATCCTTGTCACCGTGTTCATGTTTGACTTTCGTTTGTTTGGTTTTTTGTTGTTGTTTTTTTTTTCCTTCGTATTTTTCCATGTTCAATTTTTACCACGTTCATTTTTTAGCAGTATTCAATTTTTACCACGTTTATTTTTTTTTCAGTATTCAATTTTTTGTAATGTTCAGTTTTTTGCAACGTTCAGGTTTTTTTCTTTGCAACGGTCGATTTTTGGTACATAATTTTTCGCCAGATCCATTGTCTTTAGAGTTCGATTTTACGTTTTCATTTTATATGATTTTAAAAAAAATTCTATAATACATCTGAATATACTATTTAATACTAGAGTTAGAGTTAGTCATGATAAATATCGTGTGTTTGCAACATCCTCTGTTTCAACGCAGGGATTTTTCAGCCCACAGTCAGCAGCGAAGATGATTCCCTTGCTTTTCTATTCCGAGTCTGTTTTGCCGTTCAATATAACTTAATTCAATTTAAAAATATAACTTTTTGCCCGAGTCCTCCCCTCTCATTTCTCATAAATCACAAAGATATTGTTTGCTGACGACTATATTCTCAGAGTAGTCAAAAGCTATCTTTCTTGGGCCCTTGATACCGATTAATTGGTTTTACTGCAAATTGCTTATCTGTCCGTCTGTGAGTGGTCAACATAAGCGAATAAACCGTTCAGACGATATTCTCAAAAATTGATATTCCGCGATCCACGCGGTGCGCATACTCGCACTTGTGCTATAGAGTTTTTTCCATAAGCTCGCCGTACAAATTTTAGGCTAAAAGTAAAAGTTACCGAAAACTCAAAACAATAGATAATTTGTCGTCCGCACTGTGTGACGAAACACGAAATCAGTTCACTGTCAGAACGCTGTTTCTTTTCGGCAAATTTTTCTTCATGCTTGACAAGAAAACGTACACTCTAACTTCAGTTTTTAAAAACGCATTAAAAAGTAGCAAACTACATACTTTACAAAATGCATTTGAGTTTTCATTAATTCGAAATGGATTTGTAATTGCAACTCCAAAATATAAGAGAATTTGCATATAATATTAAATTAACACAATTCTTATGAATCCAACACCGCACAGCAAGGCGTTCGCGTTTCGCGCGCTAGCGAAGAACTGTTTCATTGGAAGGAATGAGAACTCTTTCCAGCGGAGGGATATCTCACACTTCCTTCTTTCATTGTCACACGTATTTCTCCTATAAACTTGTGCTAGCCGAGTGTTATCTGGTCGAGGCATGTCAAGGCAATGATGATCGCACACTCAGCCAAATGCTCCGGCCGTCCATAAAGCTACTGTTGTTATTTCTTTCCCCTCCAGCGTCGCGCCAACCTACGACGCGCTTTACTCGTTCGCGATTCCCGAGTGTGCGCCGGCTGGCTTTCACGAAGGGCACTGGCGGCGGACTATCAATCGCTGCTTCCAAACGGCGCGTGTTTTGAAATTCCATGTTTCGGAAATTCTCAGAGAGGACTTATATTCCCCTCTTGTTTAGAGATGTTTAAGAGAAAATGCACCGAATTAATTTGGGTGTGCACATGCGAATAGCCATGAGCCACCATTGCTTCACGCACATGTAATACATTTGTTCTAATGAAAACTATATTTCTTTTTGACAATATACAACGATATTGACATCTTTCCAGAAAAAAGAAATTCTCCAGTGCATTCTAATTCTTAGCCAAAAATACGAGCACGCTTACAATACTATGGGAATGAATATGTAATAATATTGGAGGAGTTCATTTTAAGAGCATCTCTTCGTTTGTGTCATGGGTTTTCCCCTCTTGAACAACGCGCTGGCAGACGCAATGGCAGCCATGTTAAACCTCACCAATGAACCCCAGTGTTGTGCTAGTCGGGTTCTCACTCTCGTATAAACGCTTAATTTTCTATTATCATGGGAAGTGGCGGTTGACAAGTTTTGTGCCTCGAGAAGCAGATAATACGTAATCCTAATCTATGCAAATGTAAGTTCTATCCTTTTTAGGTTTCTCAAGTATGAGTAATTTAAGAAGTTTTGGTTGTGATTACAATGAATCGGATAATTAGCTAGCATTTATTATATGGAGGTTTAATTGATTCTCATACGGCTTGCTACAATAACTGATCTCATAAGTATTTTGCCTTAAAACTGGATTCGCAATAAACACAGACTTCGCTAAGGTGTGCCAGAAAATGAATACTGTAAGAGTTAAGTATCATTCATGTTATTTTGTTTCACTTAAAGAAAAAATATTTTAAAAATAGGTGTGGGACGAGTATTAAATTATTAATTTCAATTACAAGGAAATAATAAAACTTTTTATTTTTTATTTTTTGTGCTCCAGGTAAATAATTTAAAATGTTTACTTTTCGCTGAATGAATTATTAAAGGCATGTGCAATTATGAAATATGTCATCTCGTGTTCGCAAACCAATTCGTCGCTTCAATGACTTGCTCTTGTCACCAATTTGCTTTCCGTCGATAAATTACATGCTCGAGTAAACTTTAATATGGTTGTGTCAGATACGTCAAGTTAAATAGATTCAAATTGGTCTTCAATATGATTGTGCCTGCTTTAGGAAGATACTGTCCTCATTTGGATCACTGTATTACCGCATTAGAGAAAGAAATAGCATTACATGCTAATCTCGTAGTCACGTCATGTTGATAGGAAATGTGTTTGCGGTACATTTCACGGTTCCATTCTCTTAATTATGACAGGGTCGAACTAGATTGCTTTTAATTTACGAAATGAAACATTGGGGTATAGTTGTCTGAAATGTATCCATAGTTTATTTTGAAGCTTGTCGTAATTTGATAATTGGATTTCCATTTCTTGAGGGCACATTTTTACAAATGAGGGAGAATGATTACGTGAAAAAGACTTTACAAAAATTAACAAGGAATAGTTTATTAACTCTTTATTTGATATAATTATTTGAATTAGTGCAGTTGTTGGCCGGTTGTAAGCGAAAAATATACGTGAAATAATAATGATAGCTTGTGGAAAATGTGCGCCATGGTAATTTTCTTTATGAAAACAATTAGTGATTAATGGAACACATACATTTACAACATCCTACGGCTGGAGTGAAAATCGCCAAGTTTGTTTGGATTACTTTTAAGGAGCAAGAAAATAAATCTGGAAAACACAATTCATTCTTAAATAAAGTGAACCTGTACGAAGCTGATAAAAGGTAGATCCCATTTGACTCCATTATCGCAGATTTTTAACTGGGCAAGATAAATTTGTGTACATTCATGAAGTACAAAAAATCATTTTGACTTATGTGCCTTTTATTTTAGCTGTTAATCCATTTCATCCACTCTATTGTTAATTCATTTTGTCCGCGAAAGGGGCGGTTCAAAATCCTCTCTTTAAGAGGTGAGGGCGGTATCTTAACGAAGACAAAGCAAACGAGGGGACATGTACAAGGTTGCTGAAAAAAACAACGTTCTCAAAAATCAACATTTTTGTCATATTAATTAACAGGGAGATGATTTTTATTCATTGTATGTCTTGTTGCATTTCCCATTTCCTGGTTTAAACAAAATATGATATCAAGAAATTTCTTACATTTGCGCAAGTATTTTATCATCTACAGAGAAGAAAAAAACGCAAACTGTGAAGAGCTCTTTCTAATTGATGAAAGCTCACAAACAAATAGATCATATGAAAAGTTGAAACGTTTAGAGATAAATCTATACTGTGATGAAACGTGCAAATTATGCGCCTCTAATTATACGAATCTGCTCCATCTGGAAAAATCTGCCAAATATGCACCAACATATTCATTTATATAGCATCTAATTCTAATCAAATGCGAAAAAATTTCACTTGGCTATGCCCTGATGCAACCGACAAAAATAAGAAAAATCATAGAAATCCGCTCCTTATTAATTACGTTATTTTTAACATTAAATTAGAAAACAGTATTAAAAGGTATCAAACATTATTTTGAGATTAAATTAGAAAAAAGATTTAAAGTGAATTAAATTTTACCCATTTTTTAATTATCTTTTGATTATAAAGAGAAATGTGTGGTATTGAAAATCAAACAGTCGTCTCAAGGGGTTTAGTGAGAAGTAAATGTTAAAAAATGGGAGCGGGGTTTTAAAAAAAAGGAAAATTTTGCAATTTTTTGCATTTAAATTGCTCTTAATAATATTTATTTCGCTACAATTTACTGTTGCCAACTAATACCTCGTAGGATATTAGGCACCTAAAGTTTTCGAAAAACACGAAGTTTTATCATTTTTGTAGTGCGTTACCCTTATGCAACGACAAATTTGACCATGCTTGACATTCGACATTACATATAACTCTAGAATTCAAAATCTGTTTTATAGCGCCGCGGTGGCGTAGCCTATCTTATGCACTATAACGAAGTCAATAAGTGAAAAAAGAGGAAAAAAATAACAACACAGATCACTAATTCATATTAGCTGCGCTAATGTCTGATTCTTATGTGAAATTCCTTAAACGTGCACTGAAATGGATGCGTGTTCAGAATTTATCGTTGCTTGTGTCGACAAATACGCATTTTCTGATTTAGAAGCGGTAACATTGACAAATCTCAAAAGAATCGCATACTAGATTAAAAAATAAAAATTTAACCTACAACCATTGGATCCATATGATTGGACCATTGCACTCATTCATAACCATATTCTTCATTAGCGCAAACTGTTACGCGCCCGCTCACGCTTATTTGACACGGCATCCATTTTAAATTCATTGTTTTAAAGTAAACCTTACAGTTTGGTGCTCTAAAGTGAAGAATAATGTCATACCTTAATGGAGAGTTCTTCGTTACGCGCTAACGTCAGCTCTAACGCCAGTCATGTGACTTGTAAATAAGGTCAAAAGTCCTTGTACACTAAGTTCCAGTATATGATACTTTTTTATGCAGATTGCGCACAATGAAGATGACAATACTCGAGATCTGGTTACATTTCTTGTAGTCGTTAAATATAATCGGGTCGGACGAACATCTTAATATGTACAAATAATTCATGAAAAATGCATTTTTGTTTCCACAGAAAAACTGGCAAGCGGCCATGGAGTGTCTGTCTTTGACCCTGGAGGAGATAGTGCACATCAGATCTGTACTTACCAAAGCAGAACTGGAGTCTCTACCAGTCGAAGGTCACGTGAAAGAAGACGTAGAAAAGAAAAAGGTAGGGGAAAACGAAACATTTGAGTTACTGTTATTCATCTGTAAATATCACTATAATCGCATCCATTGCATAATTATATATATATATATATATATATATATATAATATATATATATATATATATATATATATATATATATATAGTCTCATTAATGAGCCTACAAAAAATTACTACAAAGATAATTATGAAATGCCACAAAACATAAAATATTCGGTTAACATAAACAATGAATTCAACGATTAAATGACCTTTTAGGAGGACCTTCGTGCAAACGAGATGGTTCCCCAGTTCTCGTCCACTCAATATTTATAAACATTATTTTCTTTCACATGCAATGGAATGGGTATCAATGATACATTTAGTTCCATGCGATTATATTCAGACTTGCTTTCAGGAAGCAAGAAGTATTGTTTTTAAATTGGATTAGAAATCCTTGTAGTAATCAAAGTCTGAAAATAAAACTAAATTGTTGTGGTGACATTTTCTGGCAGTTACACAAAATACGCATGCATGACTGTACAAGAAAATATGAATATGGCTTACGGAAAACATTCAATTGTAGGTGTGCTTCCTCTGCCTCAAGACAAGGTTTGGAATCTTTGGACCTTGGGGACAGATATGCAAACTCTGTCAGAGAACTATTTGTGGAAAATGCTGCTCGAAGGTAAGCCATTCTGATAATAAAATTAATTTAGTATTCGTTTTCAGGATAATTAAAATTATTCATCTGACTTTAAAAATATATGTAGCAGAAATTATTTCACAGATCTTAATAAGCGATACATAATAACTGCAACCTCTCCGAGATTTGTCCTACTATGCTGACTTCCATGGCATTTGTCAGATGGCAGCATGACCGCATTGTCTAAAATAGTGACTGTACAGCAGAAAACTGTTTGAAATGTGAAATAATGTAATTAGAGTATACATACGTCACCAGGTCGAGACATTCTGCGATTATATCGATAATATTCCAGAAAACCTCCGTGCCTTTCCGCTGTGGTAAGAAAGATGTACGTCGCTCCCTAAACGATGAACTCCCGCATCAATACACCATGTGATATGCTGATGATCACTTGATTTGAGCATGACCTTTCTAGATCTCCTGGCTTTGTTATTCCTGATTTCACTTTAGGGAGCATGCCTAAGATATGTTTTAGTTTCATAATTGACAACAACAAAGAATGAAGTGAAGAATCGCGATGTTCATGCAATGGTGAAATTTTCTGAAGAAATGCTACATCGCAGTTGAGCAGAATTAGCCTATCACGTAGATGTGTGTTTTCTTAGAAACATACATAATGCTATGACAAAAACTTGGAGAGTTCGCAGTTCAACTTTTCTGGTATTTCTTATAATATTAGGTGTTTGTAATAGTTTCTAAAATATTTAGTTTTAAAACTCGATGCATCATCATCGGTACAGCATAGACGGACGGTCATTTTTAAAGAAGTTGAATACATTGTTTCCCGTAAGGGTACGCGCCCCAGGCCGTCACGTTCGAGATAGGACAAGACAATCCACACTTTCAGCTGTTTGCCGCCACGCCACGCCACGCCACGCCACGCCACGCCACGCCACGCCACGCCACGCCACGCCAC